GGTGGGAGTTACATCCACGGAGAAGAAGGAGGAGGGGTAAGGGGATGGGGGGTTCCCGGGTGGGTGGGGGATGGGGTAAGGGGATAACATATGAAATGTAAATAAAATATCCAATAAAAAAAAAAGAAAGAAAGAAAATATCTAAAGAGATCGAGGCCGTGATGTAAAGTCACATGGGTGTGTGACTCTATGTTCACTATTCCATGTGTGTGTACTGCTACACAGATTCAGTCCACCCCCCACCGTGCCTGTGCCTGTGCCTGTGCCTGTGCGTGTGCGTCTGCGTGTGCATGTGCGTGTGCGTGTGCGTGTGCGTGTGTGTGTGTGTGTGCATGTGAGAGCACTTAACTCAGCTAAGGGTAAATCTCTTAAGAGGGGTTCTTAAATGACACTTGCAAATGTCTGACACCCCCCCCCCCCGCCAATGAATCTCTCATTCATGAATCCTGAGCATGCCTTTTCTTTTCCCGTGAACAGTCTTACCTTCTTGGCATTTTCTGATTGACTTAGCATTTTCTCTGCGTCTTCTAGCCAGGCTTGAAGACTAGCCACTGTATCACCATAGCGATCCCAGTTGGAGATCACCTCCTCCAGCATGCTGCGCACACTCCTCACTTCCACTGAGAGATTCCTCCACTGGGCAGTGGTTTCATTCATGAATTTCATCACATTCTCAGCTTCTTCCACTGAATCAGAAACAGCCAATCACAGTCTCCATTCTGTACCTAAAACTCTCTGTATATTTCCCTATGTTCTTACACACCCAGAGACAACGCATTGATCAGAAATACAAGATTCTATTCTCAACAATTATGGCAACATCTACAAGCTGTAAGCAAACATATCTTCCAAAGTTTATCTCCACAGTAACAAGCTCGCCTATCTATATTCAACTTATTCCATGAAAAATATTTTTTTTCCTTTAATCCTCCTGGAATTGCAGCTAGGCTGAAAAATTGCAACTGAAAAAAAAAGGAATGTTTATTTTTGTTTTATCTTAGAAGATTATACATAGGGAAAAAAGTGTCATTATGCAGGATAGACACCTCACAGAATTACTCTAAGGGGATAGTCAGAAAGAGTTTACACAGTAAAAAATAATTGATCTGACCCCATAGAAACCTGTTGATGTTAAGGGCTTCTTAAGTTGTCTCCACAAGTTGCTTTTCAATAGAGCATTTTCATAATGCTATAAAAATCCTGGACCATTTTCCTCCCCAATTACCCCTACTTTCTCCTCTCCCTTCTACCCCAGCCCCTTCTGCAAATCCCAAGTGTGCTGTGTGCTTTACCTGAGCCGTCTGCTTTGACGTACATCTCAGCTGTCTGTTTCAGGATCTGGTACGTCACTTCATACTGTTCAAAGAACTTACTGTTTTCTATAAAAGACTAGAGAGGGGTACACACTCGGTCAGCAGATCGCAAACGTTAGGCTTGTCCACAAGAGACAAGGTTTTTCTTCATAAATTTATGGGTGTTTTATCCAAGTCTGCCAACTTCATTTTATTGGAAAATGCAAAATTAATTCCATTGTCATGAATGACTCGGGTTATATGTGGCCCATACACGGTGTCTACATTCTCAATACCAACTCAGCACCAGCTGAGAAAGTGTTCTATTTCTTTACTGT